CATCGCCGAAGATGGGGTTGCCACAAATGCAAATCACGCAACCCGCTCAACCACTTGGAGTGAACAATTTACAGAATATGGAAGGACAATATATGCAGACTAATGGAACTTCTATTCAACCCATTCAAAGTGTTCCAAGTCTGAACGCGCAATCGATCCAAAATCTAAAGGGATTACAAAAGTTCCCTTTACAACAACCCGGTCAGAGCGTGACGGGGCTACTGAAGGAACAAAATGGGATGCCACCGAATACACAAACCATCACACAAAGCGTGCAAGGGAGCGTGCAGAATGTCCCGAGCGTACCAAGCACCCCACAACCGAAACAACAAAGCCACGGGATTGTGTTGAAAAAGGAATGCTTTTCAAGTAGTTTTCAACAGGGGTTGTCTGCCGTCTCCACACAACTCAAACACAAGGCTCAAACATCTGCGAAGCCATTTGAAACGAAAGGGAATACTCCACAAAACACGGGAACGAATCAAAATGGCCATGTTCCGTCAATGCCAAATGGGCCAATTGCCATACCACAAAAACACAAAGATGTGAAGTTTGAAGATAAGAGAGAAGAAATGGAGAAGAGCCGAGGAGACATTTTTCAACACGAAAAAGAACTCATTGTGTGTGTTGAGAAGAGCACGCCGAAACTCCCATACAACGAGCGGTGCGAAGAGCTGTTTGGGAATATTGAGAATTACTGTCGGTTGAATTTGTTCTTCGAGACGGTCCGAGAGAAGGATGGGCTTTGTGTGTGTGTCCGATCGAAGGAGTGCGGGTTGTTTGGTCTTAAAATATCGTCAACGATGTGGGATGGGAGTTTCCCGAAAATGAATAAAGTTGGGACGGGCGAGTTTGTGTGTATGCGAGACCTTGGAGTTGAAGAGGTCAAAACCACGAGTGACTTGATGGTGGCTCTGTTTAATTATTTCAATCAGTTGATGACTGGGGAGTGTTGTTTAAGTAATTGATTCATTGTATTTAAATGACTGTTTGGAGAGTGTTTTGGGAGAGAGACGGCGACTGAGGAATGGAGGAACGGAGAGATTTGAGGAAAGAAGAAGGCACGTCGACGAATAGTTTATTTCAATTATAAAGAAACTAAAAAGAACTATAATTTGAGAGCTAAGTGAAGATAAAAATACCTGAAGAAGAGAAGAACACAAAGAAGAGCAATTCGAGTTATGAACTACAAAAGGACAAAGAAATGTCGAATTACTTGTTAACACAAAGAGTCGGGAGCGGCAGTTTATCATTAAAAACGGAAGTTTTGTTGACGCATTGTATGCGGCTGAGAACAACCCCACCTAGAGAAGCACTTGTGTTTATCACGAAGAACTCGGTGATGATCTATACCCCAGACAATAACACTATCCACCCTCCAAATCACGTGGAAATGAAGGCACTTCACGTCTTCTCACAGAACGGAACATTCTCAGTCATCACTGAAAAGGAACAACTGACATTCTTAATCACTAAACGAGACACTTTAATGTCGTTAACTAACAGTAAAGGATCCCTTGTACCTACACTCGCAGAAACACGAAAATTCACACTCAAAATTGTCTCGGCGTCGGGGAACACGGAAATCTTCTTATTACACGACAACGGAGCACTCACAGTACTGACGAATAAACCAGTCACATTACCCCTCGACTTGCCTATTGGGAAAATTTGTGGGTTTGGGAACGTCGTCTGCATACAAAACGAGAGCGCGACGTACTTGATTAAGTACTCCACAAATGGAGTTGAGAAGAAAATTGAAATGGCGAAATCGGACTCGGCGGCTGTTGGGAGGCATTACGTGTACATTGGGCGAGTTGACATGATCGAGATCTACAACACCGTCGATTTCAAAAAAGTTGGGGACATCGATGTGCGGAGGAATGGGGTGATGGGCGATTTTGTCCCTTTAAGTATCACGATTATTCGGAATGGGAGTGTTGTGGTGAGTTATGAAAAATTGGGGATGGCGGTGTTTAATGGGTGTTGGAATTGCACGGGAAAACTATTCAACGAAAAGAAGATGGAGAGAGGAACAGTATGTGTTGGAAGGGGATCGTTGTGGGGGATAGAAGGAGATGAGATCACACGATGGGAGTTAAAGGAGAGTGTTACATGTGATGATATGGTATCTAAGAAGGTAGTTTTTGGGAAAGAAGTAGGGGTATTAGCACCACAAGGGTTAGTATATTATAAGGTTTGTAATACTATACATTCTTAATATAATTAATATAAATTATTAATATAAATTATTATTATAATATATTAATATAAATTATTGATATAAATTATTAATATAATTTATTAATATAATTTATTATTATAATTATAATTAATAATAGTATTATCATATACAAATTCACTCCAAGTATTCGTTCGGATTTGATAACGGAATAGACCAAGGATTTGAACGGATTTCATTCTATAAATACCACGACGATTTAATAGTTATTGGACTGAAAGGATTAAAACTCTTTGTCTATCAACTGAACACAAGTGTTATTAATGAAACTATTAGTTTAGTTAATTTACAAGTTGTTTCGGATAGAAGAGCAGTCACGTGGACATTCACACAAGATAAAGTATTTGTGGTGCAAGAGATGTGGAGAGAAGAAGAAATTGCCTTTCAGATCACCGTTATTAATTACCCATCTTTCGAATATTTAACACAACAAACATTCACCCCATCTATTACTCATAGATATACCCCATCGAATAGCGTAGACTTACTTAACACGATCACACAAGACTATTTCGTCACACGAACACCATCACCACTCCACGACTTGTTCTTAAATGAAACCCCTCTGTTAATGCAAGTCAACGACGACTACATTTTCGTCTTTTCTGCACCACCCCCATCTCCTCGACTCTGTGTCTTTAAAAAACTTGAAACAGACACCCATTTTCAAATCATTTTACTGTTTACACTCGAAGTTCTGAAAGATGGAGTGGACAAGGAATACGGCAATCCAATGTCTTTTGTCTTACACTATGACTACAATGGTAGGATTTTGTGCCCACACCATATCGTTGTCTTATGGGAAAACGGTACACTCACGTCGACAAGATACTCAAAAGAGGACTTCTTTGTTATAGTTTGTTATTATTTGTGTATGGTATTCGTTCAATATAATGATTATTATTATTATTATATATTATATTAATTAAGTATGATATCAATATAGTATATTAATATACTATATTAATATAGTATATAGTTTATATATTAAATTAACACTATGTTGGTGTATTTTATAAGTATATTATATTATTATTATAATTTATAACAATAACTAGTATAATACAAGTATAATACTATTAATACTAACATATAGGAATCTACGACTATTATCTCAGAGAAAGTCCAAAGCTTCTTAAGTCTTAATGACTATATTGTCACATACCCACCACTCAAATTACACACTTTAACACACAAACTGACATTGGCCACACTCCCCCCTAACACTATTATTCAGTTTGATACGTCGGACCTGCCTAAAAAGATGACAGGGGACTTTTGTCTGACCGATGAGATCATGTGTGTTGAGCAAAATAAAACGACGGTTGTTCCTGTGGACCCATTTTTTGTGATGTTGGACTTGTTGAGTGGGAAGACCACTGATATATCTGCGGACACGCTGAGAGAGTTATTGATCATCTCTTTGGAAGCTTATGACAAGAACGAAATTACTTATAATGAATATCAGAAGCTTCATCGAGTGTTTGCGGACCATTTCATGTATTGTATATTAATAGTAAGAGTTGCACGAATAGTAGATAGTGGGTTGTGGCCGAAGTTATTCAGTGTAGCGCCGTCCCCTCTTGATATCTTTAAGACGGTCTTGAAGTCGACTTTTGTGACGGAAGCCGCAGCGTTCATTCGAGTCATTGATGTGATGGTTGGGAGGGAAAAGGCATTGTTATCGACACTCCAACTGCTTGCTAATGTCGACGTTGAAATGATTCAAACGATCATCCATCCCCTCTATCACGGAGAAGAATTAGAAAGTCCTAATGAGAATGAAATTGAGATATCAAATAACATCGAGAAGTATGTGACATCAAAGATCCAATATGAACTGAGAGAAGGAAATGTTAGAGGAGTCTACTCGATGGTCGGCGATCAAGATCTCTTCTTAGTAAAGTGCCTCAGAAACGCATCAGATAAGACAACGAACATTACTAACTGCAACGGAGAGGCAAAAGAACTTGTAAATACTATCGGCAAAAAGGAACTCCTTGATTTCGGAAATCTGCTCATCGAAAACGGGTTCTTTCAAATGGCAATGATGATCGGAATGCACAGCCAAATCAAAAAGTTACTGCTGTTCGAGAACAGTGAGGTCGTCTTCGATAATCTCCTGTTCTTCTTCGAGTTTGTCGTATAGTTCTTGTATTAGTTTCTATGTAATAACTTTCTTGTCTTTGAGAAAACTAGTAATATGGTATAATTATTAATATATATACTATTACTATGGTATATAATTAAATTATAATAAGATTATATTATATTTATTATACTTGTAGTATCTTAAAAAAACTGCAAGGAAAATGAATGAAATTGACAATATAGAAACACTGATCCGGAGTTCTCGGTCATGCTTAAAAAGCTGAAAAAGGCCGTTTTCTGAAGCGGTTGAGTGATGTAATAATTACTTTATTTAAGTCGTTTTGTTTCCAAAAACTCAAAAATTTGGTCTAGTAAATATATAGTATTTTTATTAATTAAAGTGGTTTAATAATTAAAAAGAACAAATCGATAATGTTTTTACTAAAAACATTTTTTTAGTGTGATTTTTTTCGTAAAAAATGTTATTCAAAGTCGCCAAATTAGTTTTTTTGAAACGAGTTATGGCGTTTTCATTCTGATGAAGGAGATTTGGAAGAGATAAATCAAATTTTTGGTTCTCAAAAATGCAAAATGCCAGAAGTCAAGAATTAACTTCCACACCAAAAAACTCAAAATCTCTAGTTAAACTTCAGTAACAAATTAATTATAAAAGTTAGTATATTTATGTGAAAACTAAATAACTATTAAATAATAATAAAAAAACTATTGGTATTGATTTGAGTCAAGACAATAAAAACGGTACTCTATTTTTAAGAACACATTGGCATTCAGTCACTAATAAAATAATATAGTTTATATATAAGAAAAATGGATCGAATAAATGCAAAAGGAAATGGAATACCAATCCATCACCTCTCATCAAGCAGTACCCCTTGTGATTACAAACACAATTAAACAACGACTCGGATACACTGAAACTGCTCCGGCGTCATATACCAACTCATTGTTTGTTTGTTTTATTCAATGAACGAATGGATTTGGATAATCAAACTAACACATAGGGATTGCGAACATTCCAGCGCAGCGACTTTTATCGCAGACATGGAAGTTAGAGATATTATCATGCACAAACCGGAGCGGCCAGTAAATGAAGAGACTCTATTACAAAGACCAGACAACCCTGTAATCAGCGATGAGAACTTTTTTAAATCGAATTTCTAAAGGTATCGAAAGTGTTGACTGATACTCGACTCACATTCCAATTGTATCATACACTTTGTTTTTAATTTCAATAGTACTTCGTATTTCTTTGTTTCATTATACACATCTTGTAACACCATCATTCGTTCTTTTAGTATGTTCTTTCATAGAAATAAAGAATTAATTCCATTGCGACAAAAATTTTGTCGCAATGGAATTATTTAACAACAGAAACCCTTAAATTTTGAAACAAAAATGACAAAAATCAAAAATTAAAAGCATTTGTCATCAGTGAAATAGAAGTAATGCAAAAGGCATTTCATGATGAAACCCGGGTGGAATCCAAAGGACCGATACCAGAAGTACGCAACTCCAACTACTAATGTCACGGAGTCCAAGCGATCAAGCATCCCTCCCATACCTGGCAAAATACTTCCATAATCTTTGACGGCCAACTGTCGTTTCAAGCAGCTTGCGATCAAATCTCCGATGTTCCCAGTCATGAACACTAAGAACACAAATATCAAATTGTCTTGGGCTAGTACCCCAATCACCATCAACATGAAGAGACCGCCCAAATACCCTTCGAGCGACTTGTTTGGCGATAAATAAGGGAATGGGTGGTGCTTTCCAAATGCTCTTCCAAAGACCCATTGGAAGGAGTCATTGGCGCAAGCCAAGAAGATGATATAAATAGTCGAGAAGGTGTTTCCTGTGACTTGTATAAGACCAATTGAGTATGAGAGTGTTTGTATGGCCCAAATAGCAGCGAAGTATAATTTCATTGCTTGTATGACGTCGTGGGAGTACAACGAGTAGACTCCATAAACCAAAAAGGCGAGAAGCGGAAATGACTCAGCAGTCACATTGAAGTTGATCATTAACATGATGTTGTGAACAACAAAAAGAACGATTGAAAGGACCCGCTCTTCCTTTGTCGCCTTGAAGACAGTTAACAACTCGTGGAACATCAAAAAGCTCAGAGGGGCTTCTAAGATATGAAAAGTAATTGGTCCAAGGTAGAGAAGGAAGAGAGCCGTAAACGAAAAGATCGTACCAGTGATAAGACGTTGTTGTTTGTTCGTCTCACTCTTCGTTATCTTCTCGGAGTCAACGGCACTTTGAGAAGTCGTCGGCGCGTCTTCCATTAAAGATTTTGAAGTTTCTGTTATATTTATTCTTAATCAAGTTTTTAAAGATGGATTAGGTGTGGTATAAACAAAGATATCTAATGTTTGAATTTACACGTGTTTTTCATAAATTTTCTGTTGAATTGAAAATGGATGAAATTAAATGTGTGAATAATTAAAATTAGTTGGTTAATGTTGAAAACGAACTTTTTTCGTGTCTAATGGACTGGAACTGTATTGAGGACGTGGCAATTCTATAGTTTATTATGTTATTACTAATAGACTTAATATTAGATCAAACTATATTTTATTAATTAAACTAAATTATATAATTAATTCAATATTTTGTAATAATTTTCTTGTTAAAAAAATTCCAAAAAAAGTCAACTTATTTTTTAACAAAAACCACCCAAATTGAATTATAAATCTGAATAATAATTTAAACATTTAAAAAATTGAATACAATAAAAAAATTTATAATAACAAAATAATAAATTATTATTATATATCATAAATAAAACTGGACAAAAATTAAAAGGTATAAATCATTATTAATACTATTCTGATTATTATACTTTAAAAAATAATAAATACAAAAATAATATGAAATTTTAGTATTTTATAACAAAATTTAGATTTTAAATTTGTTGTTATCTTATTACTATATTACAATTTTAGATTAGATTTTTACAATTTTTTTTTGTTTTATTTTTTTTATATCAATTATAAAAATATAACAATTATATTATAATTTGATTTTTAAAAACAAACCAAAAAATAAAAAAGTTGACTTCTACAAAACAAACATCAAAAAATGTTAATTTTTATTAGAATAATATAATTGATAAAACTATAGTTTCAAATAGTAAAATTAACTTTTATTTGGTTTTTGTTATCAACTTAATATATACTATAATAATAATATTTTTATTAACAATTAATATTCATATCACAATAAGTTATTTTAATTGGCCAATTTGTTTCCAGAATTGGTATTGTCTTTCAGGCAAAAAAGAGATAAATACCAACCCTATTCCATTTAAACCCTTCTTAAATAAGCTTTAAATTATTTTGTGTTGTTTGACAAAACTATAAAATTTTATATACTAAACCATAATATATAACATTAAAAAAACTCAATAAGAAACGGGAAACAAAAAAAGTGAATTTGTTTTTGGCAATTTAATTCTTTGTTTTGCTTTTTTCCTTTCTTTTTTTTTATTTTTTAATGAAGCCGAAATCATCTCAAATCCCGTTTTTCATCGTTTTTTTCATGTACTTTTAATTATGACTTTTTTTTTCAAGAAAAAAGCAATTCTTTCCCTCAAAAACGTTCTGGACACCAAACCCCAATTATTAATATTGTTTTCCACAATTTCCACGAATTCCGA